GTTAGTATGATAACACCGAATAACGAATAATAGGTGAGTCTAAACAAAAATGATAAACTGGACGAGAATGTTTTAAATTAAGTGATATTTTATTGTATTCTTTGTTTATTAAAAGATATAATAAAAATACAGTCTGTCTCATACATACCCCTTGAACATCTCCGGAGATAATAAATATTACCAAATTCTGCTTTTATTTTACTCACGGGAATGAGGACTACAAATATTTATATTTGAATTTTTTTTTTTTTTTTTTAATAATAAAATAAAAAACTAACTCTATTTTATTATTTTTGGAAAATTTAAAGATAGCCATTTTTTAAAGTTTATGTTTTTAAAAATGTTAACGTTTAATCTTATTATATTTATTAATTTCCTGATTTTTAATATTTTTTAAATTCCATAGAAAAAAAACGTACAGTCAATTAGCCATAACAATAATAATCAATTAGCGGTACAGAGGTGGCCAAAAGTCACGCAACTCCCACCGTCTTGTATGGAACGCGCGTTACGGCGCAGTTTCTCCCTCCACGTCGTTTCCGTTACGTCATATTGCAACATTGGTCTCGTTATCTTGTTTACGTACAACAACAGCAAGGTTTATAAAAAAACAACATATTTAATATAAAACACAACAGTTTTATAAAAATTGTGTTGCAAATTTGTTGCGAGACTTTTGGCCACCTTTGGGGAATAACTTAACCGCGTTACGCGATAATGAGATATTTAAGGAGTATATCTTTGTGGGACAGCCTGTATTATCAGCCTAAAAAAAAAATTAATAATAATTTAATAATCTTAAGTCATTATTTTCTACAAATTAAATATAAATAAATATAGGCGAAAAAACCAATCTATTTGGAAACCACATTTTTTCCAAAGATATTCAGACGTAAACCCAAATATATCATACCTATACCCAAAACGTACAAACCTTCTTTAGCAAACTCACATTTACAATTCAACGCTTAATCTATCTTACAATCCTCCAATATAGTAATTCTCAACTATTATTTTAATCTTCAAACCAGTAAAACCAAAACATCTAGTGTCTTCATGTTGTCCAGTTAGCCTAATAACGTTTATCATCAACGAAAATAAAATCTTACCTAATAACCAATCCGATTTCCGCTCGAATTCACAAATTCATAGAGTTATTGACAGACTATTATTATCATTCGAAAATAAATACATTTTCAAGGTTCTTTTCTCAATATCACACAAACTTCGTTCTTAAAATCCTAAAATCTTTTCAAAACTATTCAATATTTTCTCACTCTAAAATTATTTCTTAAAGACAAATTTTTAACAGTCATCATATTAATTATAACTTCCTTCACACTAAAAATCAATGCTATAATACACCAAGGAAGCGGCCTTTCACCTATCATTTGTAATATTTATATACATTCCCTAAAATTTGCCGTACAACTTTAGTAGCATATACCGATAATAAAGCTATACTAGCATCAAATAAATATTCAAACATAAATGGTTCCGATATACAATACTACTTTAACGTAATTTCAAATTGGACTCATAAATAGAAAAATAAAATAAATGAAAACAAATCAGTTTAAATAAATTTTGCTCTAGTCAAAATGAATGCCCTCAATTTTCTTTCTATAACATACATATGCCAAATAGAATGTAACTAAATACTTAAGAGTTTTTTTTTTTGATAAACGGTTAAATTAGGCCCAACATACCAAATATAAAAGGAAACAATCAAACACTCACCTAAACCTCATCCGCATTTTATTATATACAATTTTTTATTTACAAAACAATTATTAATCCCTCCTCACCCTCTGCGTATTAATGGCCCTTACATGTGACTACTTAATGTGACGATTGATTTCACATAAGTTACACGCAAATATTAACTCATAATAATAATTTTATACACGTGAAGGACAGTGTATAATATTATAAATTGGCCATAAAAAATTTAATATTATTTAGATATATTATAATAAAATAGTGAGCGACTTCAGTAATATACATTATAAACATAGGCGAATCTATTAGACGAATACTAGGTAGTTCCCTAACCTCTTTAAGTCTCTAACTGTAAATCTTAAACTCTGTGATCCAAAAATGCCTCTTAGTCATTACACGTTTCACAGATGTTTTCCATTTAAAATAACGATATTTATAATATTAAATATTACCTATACTAATACATATAAAAAATTATATTTATCAGTTATAACGTTATTTTTTATATTATAGTAAATGTGATGTTATATTTAAAAATTATTAATTTGTCTTGAATTAATATGTATTTAAGTTCAATTTATATTGCTTATTTTTGCATATAAATCATTTAGTTAGATACTTCTATTAGTCAACCAATATTTTGTTAATTTATTATAAAATATTAAAAATAGTTTCATTATAAATAATTANAGGTCGACACGAGATATCCCCTTAATGCGCCTATGGGAAATAAAGTCAAAATAATGATACGTACTCGTATTAATAATACCTACGTAAAGAAAATTCTGATTTCCTTTTTTTCTTTTTTTGCTCTAGCACAATATGGTAAGTAATTATTTTAAATATTATCTATACAGTTGTAATTAGAGAACCCAGCTAACCCAAAGAAATGGCAAACCCTAAAATAAATAATGCGATAAATATGTATATTCAGTAGTTTTTTTTTTTAAGTAGGTACATTATATTACTGATTAATGAAATGAGTAACTTATATTTTCTGCTATCTGTATACAAATTAATTAATATTCCATTATAAATAATTTAATAACTGGAGTTTAATTATTATATTATACATACATAAATATATTTTAGATATATAAAAACAAATGCATATGTTCGAGAGCACAAGCGAATGTCGTTAAGTGAGTGCGTCTCAGTGCTAAAATCGCTTCAGATTCCCGAATTGGTTAATTTTATACTTTTTTTCGTTTCCCGTGCGTTGTTTACTGACAGTGTCCCACACGCTCTTCGAATTACAGCTGACAAACGCCTTTCCGATCGTCGAAGTTGCTCACGTTTATCAAGTCACGCATTATCGTCCATGAACGAGTGCAGGGTGTCCCATGCCTGTCCTCTGTATCCATATCTAAAACAAAAGAACGGATTAGCACGTCGCCGAAGAGGCCATACAAGCCACTGCATACCTCGCTCGTATCTACACCACGACTGGCCACATCTACAGTGAGCAAATATTGTAAAAATCTATACGCTCTTTATGTGTATCGGAAATTCAGTGCATTGACGATCAGAGAATTTACCAAGTGGCCACGTACTCAACAATTATGTTTTCCCTGCTTTAGTGACAGCAATTGGCCAATCGTTGCAAAGAACCTAAGAAATGCTCAATCAGTTCACACTTACACCACAAACTACTACACCTAGGTTTATGACATCGTCCCGTCCTCTAATTCGACACCTCCAGCCACGTCGACATCGCCTTTTCTGGGTACGGTTCACTATTGGTTTTGCTAGGTACGGCATTAGTCCACGTACGAGACCGAGCTGGAAGATTCCAGCCTGCGTGTACATTAATCAACTCCACGTCAGCGCATTACGATTGTCTCCGCAAAGCAATTGGGCTTCGTTGGTCCAAGTTGACCGCTCCTATAACTGGAGCTTAACACCGTAACGTACGGGATCAACTGTGTGCCATTCCTGGCATTACGAGTTATGCAGGAGATTGCGGATGTTGACTGAGTGAATCGGTCACACGTTCAGCATACCCATCGTCATCAGACACACA